ATGGTACATGACGAAAAGTGAGTCTGGTTAAACATCGTTCGCCGCCTTGTTGCCAGACAGTTTCAAACCGCTCTGATGAATGGAATTCTGTTTCACAATAGCAAATCTGTTGCCTTATCTACTCGATTCCCAGGTGACTTAAGTCCCTATGCGAGGCGATACCAATGACAAAACTAGTTTTAATGTTTAGTTGAAATTTTATCTTATCTATATTAGTGTTGATCATCTTAAACTTTTTTATACTATACACGTTTGTAGTTTGACTTTTTTTTTAATGTATGAATGCAATGTATAAGTAATATTTATAGAAATGATGTAGATCCGCTTTTTCTCTACTCACGGATTTGTTGTTTACAAGTCATCATCAGTTTGAAGGACTTACAAACTCGTCTCTCGACTGAACCCAACGATCTACCGGCCAGAGCGACGTTCGAATGAGAAGGTCGTTTTTAATGCCGCTCAATTACGACCGTGCAAAAAATGTCAATTACAACACAACTAAAAATTATCCTAATAAATACTGTAGGAAATAATTTAAAACTAGTGATTGATTTGGCTAAAACATAAATATAGATAAAAGGCAATATATAACCTTTATCCTCTGACGAGGAATGAAGCCACCATTATACCTACATCACTTATCCCTCTCCTTAGTATGGTGGACGGGGGCGGGTGCTTCTCGGTAGCGGCCGTCTGAGCTGCTAGTGATCACATTAAAATCGAAACCGCGGCCGGAGCGCATCCGGAAGTTTCGACGCTAGCGGAGCCCCTATACGCAGGGAGATAGAGTTGACCTCTCTATCTAGGAAGTGCGTGGGAGACTTGGCCGCTGCATTTCGACCCCGTTTTGGGTATCCTTTTACGTGCGGCATTGGTTAAGTGCACAACGTTATCCCACCCCCTCGGAAGGGGAAGCGGGACATGTCAGCATATTTGTCGATTAATCTGTGGATTTGCTACACCAAACCTCACGGTTTAAGCAGATTTTCCGTGCGCGGAGGTGAGTCGCTGCTAACTTGAGAATCTAAACGTGTGATAAGGCCTGACGGCTAGGTGCGCACGCTACAGAACTTCAATGTTAATATAAGACATTGCGACCCCAGTGGGAAACGAATCGCCCTCCTTAATTAACTACGTCCTCTATCTTGGGCTGTCCATCGACAAAAGACTAGCTTTCAATCCCCATAAAAGGCTAAAAAAGGAGGAACCGACCTGACGCTACGAAACAATCTCACGACTCCTAGACAAACGATCAACACTGACGCTTCACAACAAACGACTGATTTACGAGACAATAATTAAACCGTTCTAGACTTACAGCATTGAACTGTGGGTTTCAACCAAACAGTCTAATCATCATCGTATCCAGATTTCCCAATCCAAAATCCTCCGAAAAATAGTAAATGCTTCCTTCTACGTATCTAACGCAAATTCCACAAGACTTTATTTAGAAATCGTGAGATGCGCTCTGGTGTGAAGTAGGTTTAATCCCTTAAATGGTTAAAATTAAAGATCCCACACCAATAACAAATAAATCTGACGTGATCTACAAGATCAACAGTTTAAACTGTCCGGCAACATACATCAGTCTTACATCCCAATATCTGGACACGAGAGTAAAGCAACATAACTATGATTGCAAAAAACCAAAGCAAAATCCTACAGCACTCGCTACGCACCATTTTGAACACCAACACAATTTCGACTTCAAAACTCCAAAAATATTACACATAAACGTAATTTCTTAGAAATGGTTTATATCAACAGGTTTATATCCTAAACACAGCATCAATTACAGAACAGATACATGTAAACTCAGTCGCAGCTACGTCAATATCATTAATCAAATTCAATACAGATAACATACCTATATTCCACACATCAAATATTTTTCACATAGTCTAATTTCTCAACAATTCAGCTTTCCTTTTGCTACTTATCCCTTTCTATATAATCCTGAAAGGATAATCTGGTCGAACCATTACCAACACATTTTTTCCCTTCGTCGGCTCCTTACACCTCAAAGAAGCCGACGCCTTATTCAAAAATGTCTTTTCTATACCGACATCCTTCCCCACCCCCTCAATATCCAACGTATATAAACACAAAATAGCAAAATCTCACTGGCATTCTCGACACGACACGCAAGAATGACACAATTACACAGAAGACAAACACTTTGAGTGAGTAGAAATATTTTGATTGAATATATAAAATATATTTTGCATTGTATAAATTCACTTTTCCACATCCAAAATGTAATTGCAATATGTAAACAATGTTTGTAAATCCCAGGCCCTGAAGATGATCTCGATAAAGATCGAAACGTTGGCACGATAAAGAAAATGTTTTTCTGAAACCTACATCACACCAGACCGCATCTCACGATTTCTAAATAAATATCGATGAACGGTCACTAATCACCACACATTCCACAAGACCTTAAAATTCCTTTTTCAAAAATGTCATAAAATCCCGATAAATAAAATTCCACAAGGCCCTTCCATTACACCCAAATACTTTCGTTTTAAACCTGACATCCCCAACTATCCCTAATAATCCCCCAAGGAGATTGAAACGGCAGTGGCCTTGCGTCCTGCTGGGCAAGTAGTGATAGCACGTAGACCCTTGTAAAAGTGTCACCACTAGGCGATTCTTACACCCTAGTTCCACTTAGTTTCAGATTGTGTCTTGGTTTTTTCGATTTGTACATGTCAACAGTTTTACTTATAGTATAAAAATAAATATTGTTAAAAATAGTGATTAAATTGTATGCCAAATATTATTTAGGTATATGTTTGAAATATTACTTGACAAGTCATTGGATGAAAAATATTCGGCGAAAGATTATTTTGGTAGATAGATTCATAAATCTGCTATATGAACCCGATTGAGAAAAGTTATGAAAGTTATAAAGCTACCTGGACATATATTAACATGTACAACGACTATGTACAGTAAAAAAGCACTGTTTCTTAAAAAAATCGGAACATGGGAGCCAAATACCCTGCTGCTTCTGAAGCCTAATTCCCATGTAGGGAAGCATTGTTACGTGCTCTCTATACAGTACCATGAAATTGCAGCCTTCGATTAGGAGAATGTGGGTTTTGGCAAGAAAGTAAGTGTCAATGTTTCAACCTTGCACAGCCCAGTCATAAACTGCCGACCCCTCTTCCCTTTGTTAATAAATTAAGGTTTTTAGTTGAGATGAAAAAAAGTTAATGGCACGAGAGGGATTCGAACCCACGACCTTCGGCTAGATACCCCGCTGCTCTACCACCTGAGCTAACGTGACCTCGATCCACTCGGACACTAACTTCTCATCTCAACCACACCTTATGAGTTTTCCCTCCTTGTGCCATTTTTCAATCGGGTTCGAATCCCTCTCGTGCCATTAACTTTTTTTCATCTCAACTAAAAACCTTAATTAATTAATTGTCATGTATTGGTCAAGCGGACCACGAAAGTAGTGAATTTGTTAATAAAAGTATCTGTGTATATCCCCCCCCCCAACTGAGGACAAGGTGCGGTACCTCGGACTGTATATCGACAAATGACTGAAAGGTCAGGAGGTTATGACACGATATAGAGCGTTTGCACGACTTCTAGACAATCGTTCTAATTTATTTCTCAAAAATAAAAGGCTGCTTTACAACACCATAGTTAAGCCGGTACGGACTGGAAGTGTGGAGTTCAACCAAACATTCCAACATCCACCGCATTCAAACTGCCTTAATACTACGAAAAATAATAGATGCTCCATTTTATGTATCGAACTACACATACAGATTTACATATACCTTGGAAGGAAATCCGTTCCTGTTGCCTTTTAGCTTTATGAATTAAAAAGGAATAAATATTAAAACAACCGTAGTTAGAATTGCTTTAAAAAAGTATTACGTTGTGTGTTATAAATATAATGTGGAAAAAACGAAAAGAAATCCTTTAGAACCAGTTGTTGATATTAATTAAACTGTGGTAATTTATTTTCTCAAGAAAAAAATTATTATATTAATAAAGCGATTTCGATTTTTGCTAAAGAAAAATAATACAATTCAGAAAATTTTACATTCAATAAACGATCCATAAAATCTATCGAATTTTTTATTTCTTTTCATGCAAATTTGTTAAATTTATGTCATTAATCCATTAATCAGTTCTTTCATTATGAAATTAAATAATTTCACAGTAAATAATAATAACAACTAGTACTACTACTCTCTCTCTCTCTCTCTCTCTCTCTCTCTCTCTCTCTCTCTCTCATATTCCATTTTATGTATTGAACCACACATACAAATTTACATATACCTTGGAAGGAAATCCGTTCCTGTTGCCGCAAATTTTATAAAAACCTCCCAACCACCGTAAATCAGAACATCAGACACTTCGCATACCTACGAATCCCACCAAACCCTCGCCGCCGACTGAAGAGACAATCTCCTAGGCCGCGATTTTCTCGGAAGTGATAATGACACAAGTTTCAATTAAAGAGATAATATTTGAGTAACGTTGGAGTAGTACCAAAGGGTATTTTCTCCACATTTGTTTTTAATTGTTTACATATTACCTTGCTCATTGTTACTTGTTACCTACTTGGAAGTAGTTGTAATATACTACAAATTTTAAAAAAGTATACAACTCAAAATGTTTGCTTTAATTTTCCACAAGTGTGATATAGTTTTTTTTTTAAATACTTTTCTTATGAAAGAGTGTTTGGATTTAGACTTATTTGTTTAAATTATTGACTTCGTAACATTTTATTTTAATAATCCGATGAAAGAGAGTATAGTCGGAATACCCACAAAACCAAAACGCTCTTCTCTACCCTCCAGGGCGAAACCGAAACCACGACAGAACTGTGCACTTCTGTCTGCTTCCCCTTTTAGACCGCTTTTGTGAGAAAAAGTTGGACTTACAAACTCAGTTACGAACATTCAAAACTAAACAGAGAATAACAAACTTTCCATTATGTATATATTTATACAAAAAAAACTGAGTACCTGTAAAGATTCAGCCATTCCAAGGTAGCAAGTGGGGCGATCGCACCAAAAGGAACCGCCTCCAATCTGTTGAAACTCAAGTCCAAAGAACGCAAAACTTTGACCGCTGACCTGAAACAATTAAAAAAATCCTATATTCCATTTAATCACCGGGGAATGAAATCATTCGATAATTTTTAACCTCGGGCAAAATTTTGTAATAATTAGGCTCGAAATTAATTGAACTTTTTTACATTTAATCCAATTATTTCAGCTATACAAACTTCATCAGTATAAAATGCTAATTTAATTCAAAACGATTTAATTGACCGTTAAAAATATCTATTTAATTGGTTTATTCAGGTAATACGCTTCGAATGCCGTTACTGGAAAAATACAGGCCGTTTACAAGGGCTAAACTTGTATTATTCATTTAAATAAAAAAGAAATTTCAAAATAACATAAAAAATAATTTATTCATCGGAATGTATATTGTTTCTAAGATCAAATGTTGCTACAGCGCCAAAAACGACCTTCTCTTTCGATGAATCCTTAGCGTTAAACGATAATTCTCTAAAGTCTTGAATGTTGTCACTTCCCAAGCTTAGACGACACCTGCATAAGTTATCTGACGAGGTGGAGATCACATGCGAACGATTTAGAACTGCTGAGCTCAGCAGGCCGGGCACGTACCACCAGTCAAGCCTTAAGAATTTTTTTTTGTCTTTTTCATAAATCACTACAGTTCAAGAATTACATCAAGAAAACAAACAAAGGAAAACGCTATTAATGGAATAAACTACAGTTTTGTTCTTTAAATATCCGAAAAGATCAGATTCTACGCAATGACAGAAATAAATAAAAATGGCTATTTTGGACTAGATTCATAATTCCTTCATGGATATGATTGGATAAGACCTTCATATTTATTTGAACGTTTCTCATGGTTTTGTAAAAAAATCATTTCCAGAAAAATATTTTAGACCATACTTAAATCAAAATATTATCGACACGTTCCATTCTTGAAAACCCCGACTTTTCTAATTTTGTAGAGCGTATTTTGAGTATATTTTGGAGTATTTTGGGAACCAAATCGGTGTCAAAGGCTCTCTATAAGTAAGTATGGCTTTGTGAACGTTACTGCCAAGACCGTTTTTCGATTTTCCCGTTATAAAAATTTTAATAATTTTTTGAGAACATTGTTTTAATCAAACATTTTTCTTGATCGTAGATTTTTGCTTCTCGAAAATAGTTTCATTTGCAGGTATGATCGAAAACGTGCGTTAAACTAATTTATTTGATCTTTTTTTGATCTTTTTGGCATTTGTTCCCTCGCGGATTTTCGTTTGGTACATTTTTTATAAATCGTAAATAATTAGTAAATACCACACATTCAGATTTTATTTATTTCGGTAATATGCTTTAAAAACATTTTGTGTGTGTGTGTGTGTGTGTGTGTGTGTGTGTGTGTGTGTGTGTGTGTGTGTGTGTGTGTGTGTGTGTGTGTGTCTGTGTGTGTCTGTGTGTGTCTGTGTGTCTGTGTCTGTGTGTATGTATATATACAAATTTGTATACAAATTTTTATCTTTTTTGCAAAAATTATACTGAGTAGCTCAGGAACATTTCAAATTCAAACTTTCTAATACGACTCTATACATCCTTAGACATTATTTTAAAAGCGTTTAAGCTGAAAACAATGGTACAATCGGATTTTAAATTGGTCAAAAAATGAGCAAGTTATGGCTAAAAGTTAGATAAAAGTCATTATGTTTGCTATTTATTAATCACATTTTGTGTTCCAACTGCCTGCCTTGCGTAAAGATGAAAAGATTTTCTTTTTTTAACCACGCTTCATTGGTGCTCAGAGCGATAGAGGGGGGTGGATTGACAAGCATTTCCTATCTTTGGCCGCAGTTCTGTAACTGAGGTTTCTGGGTTTAAATGGGGTGACCGAGGAGGCCAACAGATCGGGCCATCACCTAACCCGGAATTGACGATTCAAACGTCTCACCTGCAAAGAATTGTGTGGGGCACCGATGAAGCTGGATAATCATCCTTTCTCGTTATTACAGAGGAAGATCATCCATTAGTGTTGGTAAAAAAAATTGAGGGACTGAGCACCATTTAAATTATTTTCGTAGAAATAAGGTACAATTAATTTATTTCCGAGAAGTATACACCCAATGTTGATACTGTGAACATCCTGATGACGACAAGTGTACGAAATTCGCGGATTTTCCTCTGCCCACGCTCGAAAATTCCAACGGTTTAGTTTGTGCCATTAGAGGTAAACTTTGATTCATCAGGCCATTGGTTGTATGGCAGAACTTATTTATTTAGAAATCGTGAGATGCGGTTTGGTGTGATGTAGGTTTCAGAAAAACATTTTCTTTATCGTGCCAACGTTTCGATCTTTATTGAGATCATCTTCAGGGCCTAGGATTTATAAACATTTTTTAAATTACAGAAACACGTGTAGGATGTGAACAAAAATTAATTTATACAATGCTAGAAATTTTGGCATTGAAACGTTGGCACGATAAAGAAAATGTTTTTCTGAAACCTACATCATACCAGACCGCATCTCACGATTTCTAAATAAATATCGATTAACGGTCACTAATCACCTCACATTTCTACACGTATGGCAGAACGTTTTCTTCAGCCTTCCAAATCGACATTTGTGCAAGTGACGTTAGTCGCCTGTCATAATCAAATTGCTGAAATCCCTAGACATGATGAGAGCGATACGGCTATACATGTATACAGAATGTATACATTATATGTTGGCAGGTTAACTATCAATAAAGCAGTCGTACATATCAACTCGCTGTTGATCGGAAAAACGTGATCTTCTGTTCATTTAGAATGTAATGCTGATTGTAAGGAATAGGTACTTTTGTAATATTTATTTACTTCCAGGAAGATTTGCTCTCATAATGTGAGTTTGACAAATAATGACAGAATGTGAACAGTAAAGGCAATTAATTTTTACTTTAGTGAAGAAGTAGATTATTGGTATTAATAACGAAACAAACGAAATACTCTTGTCTTACTTTTTGCTATAACGTTGTTGTTGTTTGGATTTTGGAGGAAAAAGCCAATCATTTTGCAGATCACTTTTCCACTGTCTTCACCCCACACGCCAATATCATAGACCCAGATTATGTTCGACAGATCGAAGAATTCCTAAACTCTCCTCTTCCTTTATCTCTTCCTCCTAAACCTTTCTCTCCGTCAGATGTCCAGTATGCTATACGCCAGCTCAAACGTAAAAAAGCCCCTAGATTTGACTTGCTAACTCCCCAAATCCTCAAACACCTTCCAAAGAAATCCGTAATATTCATATATATACTTAATTCAGTCCTATTTTCTTAGTCCCTTGAAACATTCTGTCATCCGTATGATTCCTAAACCCAAAAAACACACACATTGTCCTACTTCCTACAGACCCCGTTAGCCTACTACCGATTTTAGGAAAAATCCTAGAACGGCTTATTTTAAAACGTATCCTCCCAATCCTTAATTCTAAAAAAGTTATCCCCGACCATCAATTTGGATTTCGTGACGGGCACTCAGCAGTTCAGCAGTGTCACCGAGTTGTAGATGTTACTTCTGCCTCTCTTGAGTTGGGACAGTATTGTTCGGTGGCCTTTCTTGATGTGGCCCAGGCCTTCGATCGAGTTTGGCACCCGGGCTTGCTGTTCTCGCTCAAAGACATCCTTCCCTCAACCTATTACCTTATCCTTCGAAGCTACCTCACTGACCGGTACTTCCGAGTCATTGAAGGATCGGCGTCTTCCCCAAACCACCTTCTCCCTGCTGGTATTCCGCAGAGCAGTGTTCTGGTACCCGTAGTGTACCAAGTGTACACGGCAGACCTCCCATCCCATCCTCAAACTACCACTTTAACCTTTGCAGACGATACAGCGATCCTGTCAAGCAATTCTGATCCAGTAATTTCCAGTGAAACCTTCAAGAACACCTCACACTACTGGAATCATGGTGTAAAAAAAGTCTCAAATTCAACCCAGAAAAATCCACCCACATAACCCCTTCACCCTCAGCAAAAAGATCCCTCCTCCAGTCTACTTCAATCAAATACCCCTCCCAATTGCGGACAAGGTGCGCTACCTAGGACTATACATTGACAAACGTCTGACGTGGAATCCCCACACACGACTGAAACGGCAAGAAGTTATTAAACGTTACAGAGCACTTTCAGAACTTCTTGACAGACGTTCTAACCTTCCTCTCTTAAACAAAAGACTACTTTATATCACCCTAGTGAAGCCAATATGGACTTATGGACTGGAAGTGTGAGGTTCAGCCAAACATTCCAACATCCTACGCATCCAAAGAGCCAAATCCATCATCCTCAGAAAAATCCTTAATGCTTCCTTTTATGTGTCCAACGACACTACCCATAAAGACCTAAATATTCCTTTTGTCCAAGATGTAATCCACTCCCGTTACCAAAAATTTTTCACAAACCTCCCAACCGCTATAATTCGTCAAATATAAATCCTCTCATCCCGACCAATTCCTTCCAACCCTCTTCGCCGGCTAAAAAGACGATGCCCACGGGATCTTCTATCCAGTGACAATTGAATAAAGAATAGTATATCAATTTAGTATCAAATCAAATAGTAGTACCAGTGGGTAGTTTCTCAACTCTTGTTTTCTTAATGATTTATTCATACATTATTATTACAAGATACTAAAATGCAGGTAGTTGTAATATGCAATAAAAAGCAAAAAAAAGCTATAATTTAATTTTTTGACTGCTTTAAAATTCAATTAAACCATTGTTTTCAGGGTAAAAATTCCATATTTGAAATTTTGAAGATGAGCTGGGCCTGAAGTACCCTGTATAATATTTCTTCCAAAAAGGTAAAGAGTTGAAAGCACACTAAAAATATTAAACACGTATTTTTATTTTTATTTTGATAGCGTCATTGTTTCAAGAGAAATTCAGTCGGGCCATCTAAAAACGACTCTCTGTCTCTCTGTCAATCAGTCTCTCTCTCTCTCTCTCTCTCTCTCTCTCTCTCTCTCTCTCTCTCTCTCTCTCGATGTATATATATATTCACACACACACACTCACACATGTATATATCATTTTTTCGGTTTAGTAAAAACAAATGCATCAAGAACAAAAATTTAACCGATATAGTTTTGGCTCGATTGGCTTATCGAAAGTATATTGTGCACATATATAATATTTTCATGTTTGACAAAAGCAACCTTGAACGTAAGGAATAAACTATTTGAACTGCGTTGGCTAATAACTGTTAGAACAGTAGAATTTTTTATTTTTTGTTGATAAAAGAGCCCCAAGAGGAAAAATCAAAAAAACTCTTCTTGAAAAGAGGAAAAATAGAGTTTCAAAGGAATTATAGAGAAACTCGAGTGCAGATAGGAGTCTCGTAATAGGTTGAAGAACAGGCTTCATGTTCCACAAGTGGGACGGCTTTTGCAAACCTCCAGGTAATTCCGTTTTACTGCCAATACCGCCGTCAACCGCCTTTGTCCTCTTTGGCCTCGGCCCCTGGAACTCGGCTTTTTCCTGACTCGGCAGAAAAACTCGGATTCTATCTCTTTATAATGACGACCTCCGTTCCCGGGTCGCACTCCTTCATTTTCCACTTGGCTGAAATGAAAAAAAAGTAAATGGCAAGCGTGGGAGGAGGGCCGACTGTCGGAGATTTCGGTCAAAAAACAGGCGTCACAATGGAATATCTTAGAACTCTTTGGTGGGGGCTAAATTGTAAACAAGGAACGGGGTTTTGGAAACAAAAATTGGCCCCTTTTGATATTTAACGTTAATTTATTATCATAGTAGGAAAGGCCTTATTTTAAAAGACAAAAACTGCTATTTTCAAAACGACAATCTGTTTTTTATTACATTAAAAATATAATATTGCTATTTGTATAATTACATACAAATTTACGCAATTACGGGTTTTCCAACTCACTATATTGAGAAAATATGTTGAGTGTTTTTAGAAAATAACTTTTCACACTAAACACATTTTTCCGTTATTTTTCAATAAAATTGAGGTTGTGTAAAGTCTATGTTAAATTATCTACAGCATGCCACCTATTGAGCCCATTATGGTCAATATAGCCATTTACTTCGCCCAAATCTATAAAGTTTGAACATTGAAAGACCTTTGAAGAATTTCATAAATTCTCAACACTAAGGCAAAACTTCCTAGAGATTAGCGACTTTCACAAAACCTGATTTATCTAATAATCTTTTTGCATTCGTAGGATCGGTAATTTTTGTCAGTTTTATGAAGAAACAAACCCGCAAAAAATCGTGTTCTACGGTATTTAACCGTTAACAAAATCTGGTAATTAAACAACCCCTAATTTATTCGAATTTATCAAAGGGTTTTTTACACCCTGCGACAAATTAAAGAACGTATTTTTTCTTCCTGCAGAATCAATTGTTGTTTGTAAGAGTTGTTTTCAAATTGAACATGCAAATTAATGGTGATTGTAAAAACTGTTTTATAAACATGGCTTGTTTTAAAACGCTCCGGTAGAACCTAAAACAATACGAAGTTTTTCTCTTCAAAAGTAAAAAAAAAGAAAATAGGAAAATTAACATTTTATAATTACTTATATTTACACCTTGTTTATTTCGTTATTAAAACAACGAAAATAAACCAAAAACGTTCAATTTTACACTCTGAAGCAATTATGAAATGTTCTAAAATATGATTTAATGTTCATTTCTACATCTTCACGAGTTTGATGTAAAATTGATTAATGGCACAACAATGCCGTTTGCTAATGTATCATAAATGGTATTTAATCTGTCATCATATGTTAATTTTTTGCATTTGTATAAATAGTTATAACTACCAATGTCCTCAAATTTGACATTTTTTTATTATTATTATTTGTGAAAGATAATTAAAGGTATGACTGAATAAAAGTTCCGAAGATAATTTCACGCGTTTTTAATTTTTGCTGCTTTTTTTTCACCATTACCCTTATATTTTTGTTTGATGTCACCGCATCTGTTGTTTCTGTCCTCATGGCTAAAAAAATATCATTGTGTGCCTTGGTTGAGAAAAAAAAAATTTAAAAATAAAATATGACATTCATTGTGTTTGTTGATGAATGTGCAGGTAGAGTTCCAGAAAAGAAAGATATTTCACGCCTTAATCTGATAAGTAATCAGTATATTTTTTTACTATGAGAGGTATACGAAATGATTTAAAAAGAAATGGAACGTTTCTTTTTGAAAGTTTATCTTTTTATAAAATATATGTACTCCACATTTACCCCATGTTTTTATCTTTATAACAATAATTATCATTATTTTATTCGTGATGGATGTGACAGTTAAAAGTTACAGAAAAGGCATTTTGCACTTTAATCTGATAACTAATATTTATTTTCTTAATATGAACTTTATTAAACCCACATACTTTTGGTATTCTTGTCTTCGAAGTTTGTCAGACTTGTTTAGTTGAATGATGTCTTTTTAATGTGGAAAAATCCTCCCCTTTTTTGTACAATAAAAATGGATATCGATTTCTAGATTCGGGACAGGTTTCGCAGGTTTTAGGAAAGTAATTAACCTTAGTAGAGTAATCCGGAAAGGGTTACGACGTGAGAGGAAGGGCGGGACATATTTTTAATTTCAACCAGCGCTTAACGAGCGGATCCAGTAGATTTTCCCTTCTTATATTACAGAAAACCCGGCTTTTTTGTGCTCGGAAATTAGCGCTCGTCCTGCAATTTTTCCAGCCTTCTCGACTTCCTGTTTTTTCCATCAAAGCACGCGGATAAGCTCGCCGCACGATATTATAAATTAAAACGGAGACTAATTTCAATGATGACATTCGCTGACGGATCTTCAGCCCTTTTGCAAATTTTCAGCGTGGTTTTAAATTATTTCTTTTCAGAATAGGCGATTAGTGGCATTCTGGCCACCTCCATACAAAAAAATTAGATTCATTTATTTGTATATTAACGCACACTTCATATTCCAATCCTTTCTCAAAACTCATTCACTTATTTGCGCAATTTTAATTAAAGTAGAAATCTCGTCGTCAAAAATTTAAAAATTCAAATTTTATTATAATCCTACACATATTTATAAAATATTGACCAAAGTGCATTAATTTGTATTCACAATCATAATCAATTCTCCAATCATATCTTGTGAAAGCGGAACTAAAACAAAAAACACTAGCAAACATTTTAATCATTATATAGGCAACCTACCAAAAATATTAATTCACTACTTTCGTGGTCCAATTAATATATTACAATTAATTAAGGTTTTTAGTTGAGATAAAAAAGTCTTGAGCCAACCACTTGAGCTATCGTGAAGAAAATTCAAAAAGGTGGGGTTGAGATGAGAAGTTAGTGTCCGAGTGGATCGAGGTCACGTTAGCTCAGGTGGTAGAGCAGCGGCGTATCTAGCCGAAGGTCGTGGGTTCGAATCCCTCTCGTGCCATTAACTTTTTTTCATCTCAACTAAAAACCTTAATTAATTGCTACCAAAAATAGTTAACTGAATCCTGTCATACGTCGCCCCTTGTAGACCAAACAACTCTAAATACTTTCATCAAATAATTTAAAAAACTCGAATGAAATCCCTTCATTTCTAAATCGCTAATGAGGGAAACAGCAGATATAAATATTTATTCATAAACCAAAAACACAAAAACGATAATTATAATGAGATTATAGTTGAAAATCATCAAAATTTTGATTTAAGTATTATTAAGAAAAACGTTTGAATTGCAATAATGTTTACCCCCCCCCCAAAAAAAATTGTTATTAATCGTTAAGATTAGTTATCTTTATGTAAAGAGATGTAAGGTATTAGGTGAGATAAAAAAAGTCAGTGTCACGAGCGGGATTCGTCTAAATACGCTGGTGCTCAACCACTTGAGCTGTCGTGACTTCGATCCACTCGGACAGCAACTTCCAATTTCAACCCCACCTTTCGAAATTATATGTATTTGTGTGGAGTGAACTTCAAATGTCTGCTCTTCCTCCAAGTTCATTAATTTAATTTTGTCTTTTTTTATTACAGTGCATAACAAAAGGCTAACAAGTTATTATTTTTTTGTATGGTGTTTAGTGACCGTTAGCCAACCCCACTGGGCACTCTCAACACGTCAGACAAGAATGACACATCTACACGGAAAACAAGCACCTTGAGCCCTGAAGATGATCTCAATAAAGATCGAAACGTCGGCACGATAAAGAAAATATTTTTCTTAAACCTACGTTACACCAGAACGCATCTCACGATTTCCAATAATCATCAAGTGACAGTCACGAAACGCCATACATTTCTACACGAGAAAAACGAAGAATATAAAAAAGGCACTCTCAACACGACAGACAAGAATGACAAATCTAGACGGAAAACAAACACTTTGAGCCCTGAAGATGATCTCAATACCGATCGAAACGGGTAGAGATTAGTGACCGTTAATCGATAGTTATTCAGATATCGAAACGTTGGCACGATAAAGAAAATGTTTTTTTCTAATATCTACGTCACACCAGACCACAGCTCACGATCTCCAAAAAAAATTTTTTTCACAGTTCAGTAAATAGTGAAGGCAACCTGTAACCAAATAGTAATTTTCGCTAGCACACAACCACAAAAAGAAAATTAAAATTTTTTTGAAGAAGATTGGTGATTTTCAAAGAAAAACCTCCTTAATTATTAGGATTTTGAATGGTACGCTTAGTAGGATGGTACTTTTAATTTTCTAAGAGTATTTAATTTTGAGCGATCTTGTTAGGTTCATCCAACAATTTGTTGTTGCTCCCTTCCTGTTGTACCCATTTTTCAACTACGACATAAAATTATGTCGAATTGATTATGGATACCTATATCCATACCGCAGAAAGTGCACTGTTTTTAAGGTAGTTAAGCACATTGTAAAGTTTTCGACCTAATGCTTCATATTAGCATAAATAATTTAATTCAAATAAATAATTCCAGTACTAGCGATTACTGAATAATTTAAACAATATAAAACCATCCAAGAAATTTTCTAATTTTATTCCCTCATAAAACAAATTTTAAAAAATTTATTGATACCATAAACTCACGTTATTTATAAATGGAACTCGACGAATAAATAAATTAATCTAAAAACTAATTGGTAAAATCCGCAGTAAAACGAAACCAACATTGATGAGAAATTTAATAAAGAAAGTTATAGAAACATTAAAATGCAAATGTAGAAAAAAAAACCTCTAAAAGTCTGGTAGAGAAATGAAAGAGAGATATAATGTACCTAAAAGAACATTCAGGGTGAATGGTGAATATTAAACTATGCAACTCAAACCACGCAACACCTTCAACAATTCAGACAAGTTCAGCAAGTATGAAATTGCTCGATGATGCTCAAAAATGACTATTCAAAAACGTAGAGATAAATAAAAGCAACAAATTAAACTCATTAACAAACAATTATACATATATATATCATTATAAACTTACGGTTCAGAAACACTTCATAAAACGAGAGACGAACCCAATAAGCCCAACGGAACCACCATCGATCTATAAAAAACAACTACAAAACAATGATAACTTCGACATACTTTCTTCACCCTCTACGGACTTATAGAAAGAACTAAGAAGTCAAACGAAAAAACCAGAAGGACACGGATGACCGAACTGCTAATTTCTAATCATTCATTTACAATTAAGAAAAACATTCATTTGATCATTTCCAGTAGGACTGGCAGCTTAATTGATTATGAATTTTTGTTAAAAAAGGTTGCGATAAATGATATTTTTAACTGTAAAAAAAATTCGACTCCTGACCTAAACATTTGCTGACGATTTATAGTATAGAGATTATTTCATTTTATGTATATGTAACTTTCTGACCCAGCAACTCTTTACTAGTTTTCAGTATTAATTAAACAAAAACGCTATGGAAATAACAAACATTAAATTGGATTACAATTCTTTTTATACTTGTCTTTAACGAGGTTTAACAATGGATCTATAAAAGGCTGAAAAAAAACGCGAATCTTCCCGACCGGGTTCTACCCATTTCTCTAAAAGGTTTCTCGTTGCCCATTGTAGCTCTAATTCTGGACTCGTTACCCTTTTACAAACGACGTACCTTGGCTGTCAACCAATGGAGCCATTGGTACTGAACACATTCAACGACGGCTGCCATTCCGCGCAATTTGGACATTTAAGTATTACAGTTCGGACGGGAAAAAGTCCATTTCACGTGTATATACAAACTTGTAAACATTCATTACTTGAATCATTTCTTCAGAACCAGTTTATTTTCCCGAGCTCTTTTATATCACTGTTTCCATCAGTGGGAACAACCTAGACGGACAAAAAGATATTTTAAGAAAATATACATCCTCAATTTTTACATTATTATTCAAATATTTCAGCATAAAGTTTTCCATTTAATTAATCAGAAGAGAACATACAGAACGGACTAACTTTGTTTGGGGTCTCATTGCAAACTTTATCATTGATTACAAACACACGTAGCATAGTAAAACTGGTTTTATTACATTTTTGGTTTTGTTTTAGTTCGATTTGGTACATATTGGCCGGTTTTTCCTAGTGAATGTGACACAATTTTATTTTGTTATTTCCATTTTCATTACTGTTTTATATTTAAAGAATAAAATTAGGTTGAAAGTTGATTAGCATAGGGTTTTATGATATAAAGCGTTGAATATTGCAAAAACAGAAAAGAACAATCGTTAAAATAAAAGAGAGAGGTAGAAAACTATGAACGTACTGTACGTTGAAAAACCTCTTTGTAAAACAAAGTAAAAAAGCAGCGTAATTAAAAATTATATTACAAAGTGGATCGCCGCTAATTGCAACACTAACCACTTTGTCATTTTTGGTTTATCCACCCGTGATTATTTCATTATTGTTATACACATAATGCTTTTTCTAATTGCCAATTTCAGTCTGTAACGGAGGTATGATAATTCCATTAATTTGTAATTTGACTCTTTTAGACTAACTGTGTACTAATTACAGAAGGGATAATAGCTGAATTTAGGTAATAACAATAATTTTGCTGAAGGAGTAGGAACAACCAAAATTACCATCATTTATGTAACCAACTTGAGATTCTTATAAGTAATAAACGTTAATAAAAGTATCATTATAAATAGTATCATTATATAGTATCATTATATAAATTGTGAATAATACTCAATTAATTAAGCTTCTTAATTGAGATAAAAAAAGTCAGTGTCACGAGCGGGATTCGAACACACGACCTTCGGCACTTGAGCTATCGTGAAGTGGTAGAGCAGCGGCGTATCAAGCCGAAGTTCGTCGGTTCGAATCCCGCTTGTGACATTGACTTTTTTATCTCAACTAAAAACCTTAATAAATTGAGTGATGTTAATTGGTCAAGCGGACTTCGAATAATAGTGAATTGTGAATAATGTTAATTTTTCTTCAAAAGGTTTACTTGTATTTATTCTAGTTGAATTAATGTACGTTAAAATAAATAGTATAAATAGTACCAAAAGAATTAGTGATCGCATTGGCTAATTGTGTAAATACAGCAATAACACTTTTTTTAACTACTTTTGCCACCAGTTACACAAACTAATTCACCATGCAAAACATAAAAGTAAACCATACAGTTTTTATTGTAAAAGAAATAGTAGCTATAAAAGTTATTTAATAGTAAAAAGAAAAGAAAATAATCTAAAGTGAGCAAACGAATATTTTCAGAAAGAGTCATACTAAAGTATGACGTTATTTAAAAATCTCATCCGTGCTACTATTTTTATACTATTGATTTTTTATTCATAATAAATACTATTTATTAACAATTATGTATTAATCAAATCACCCGTTATCTAACTTAGTTATTGCTCAAAGAAGTAACAACTTCCTCAGAAAATCTGACCTTCGCTGGTTGCTTGCTAAAACAAAGTTGGCAGCTAGTTCATTTAAATTATGTACCATGGAGGGAGGTTGGATGACAGCAATGTTCCTTATGCAACTACTGAGAAAAAGGAAAAAAGAAAAGAGGTTTTTCATTTTGTTGCTCAGCTATTTCTTCTGGTAGTGTCATTTTTATATCCGGGGAGGCAAATGCTTACTCGAGCTCGGCTAATTTGAGTACTGAACTCGATAAATGATCAGAGTACTTACTTAGTACCCACGTGAAGCATGGTTTTACACATATGAACTAGTTAAACAATATTATACATATATAATTTTTTAAATTGAACAATATCTATAAAAAAGTATTGTATTGAGTTTTACGTTGTTAACAACCACGCTATTCTAAGACAAATAACGTAGCCGCTATTTCTGATAGCGTTCCGCTAATTCTGCGCTTACAAATTCCAATCAGTTATGATTCACGCTAAAGTTATGCAAAATCTCTCTTACTGTTTTTATAATAAGTTTGGGACAAAATAGAAAAAAAAAAACATCCAAATTCCTTCGTCGTGGCTTTGAGTACTTTCAAAAATCAGTTAGTAATTAAAACAATTACAAACGAAAATTATATTCACATATCTTTTTTTTTTTCAAGACAATGAAATCAAATATTGACTTCGTAAAAAGAATCACATAATATTACGAGGCGTTTATTTTACGAAAATATTTTTCGTCCAATTAGTTAATTATCAAATTACACCAATACTGTCAGTAAATTACAGACGAGTTTTCCTAAAGATCAATCCAGTATGACATAAATTGAAAAAAATGTGTCATATGCACAATAACAATAGTTATTCAGATATCGTGAGATGCGGTCGGGTGTGATGTAGGTTTCATAAAAACATTTTCTTTATCGTGCCAACGTTTCGATCTTTATTGAGATTATCTTCACAGCTCAAAGTGTTTGTTTTCTCTGTAATTGTGCCATTCTTGCGTGTCGTGTTGAGAGTGCCCTACTTGGGCACTTGGGGGATTTCCGAATAATTATTTTTTATTAATAGCAGCGTTAAGTACATAGTGTAGATACATGTCTCTATCTCTATTCCCAAAAAATACGTATATTACATGTAATATTTACAATATATTATGAGAAAGTGAAAGAATGAATGAGACATGTATGGGTAAAACGTGGAAGAAAAAAGAAAAATGAAGAATAAAATCAAACGGACATAAATAGTAGATAGGATTGGTTTAGAGAAAGACAGATAAAGAAATCACAAAAAATGGGAGAGAGAGTGTAAAAGAAAGAGAGGGAGTGGGAGGGAGAGAGAGAGAGAAAAGGAGTGTAAGAGAAAAAGAGAAAGAGAGAGAGTGTACGAAAAAGAGAGAGAGAGAGAGCGAGAGAGAGCGAGAGAGAGAGAGATGGATAGATAAAGAGGGAGAGAGGGAGAGTGAGTGTAGGAGATAGATAAATACAGAGAGGGAGAGAGAGAGTAAGAGATAGATAAATTGAGAGAGAGGGAGAGAAAGAGAGAGGGAGAGGGATAGATAAAGAGGGAGAGAGGGAGAGTGAGTGTAGGAGATAGATAAATACAGAGAGGGAGAGAGAGAGTAAGAGATAGATAAATTGAGAGAGAGGGAGAGAAAGAGAGAGGGAGAGAGAGAAAGAGAAAGAGAGAGAGAGAGCGAGAGAGAGAGAGTGAGCAAGGGAGGAAGATAGATATGGATAGATAAAGAGGGAGAGAGGGAGAGAGTGAGTGTAGGAGATAGATAAATACAGAGAGGGAACCCCCTTTTATTGAACCCTGAAGATGATCTCAATAAAAGATCGAAACGTTGGCAAGATAAAGAAAATGTTTTTCTGAAACCTACATCACACCCGACCGCATCTCACGATTTCTGAATAAATATCGATTAACGGTCACTAATCTCTACACAAATAACAATAGTGTTAAACGCCTTAAGAAATTCAAAACTCGCCAATCTCCATCGTCTGTAGATAAATACAGAGAGGGAGAGAGAGAGTAAGAGATAGATAAATTGAGAGAGATAGATGCATAAAACATCACTTCATCCACACCTGTTATATTGAGGTTGCTAAAAAAAATTGTGTTCGAAATTTAATTCAATCCTATACCTAATACAACCCCGTGACACTACTACAATTATTTTTTTGAAGAATCATTTCAGAAATATTATTATCTTGCCAGCATATTACTAGACGTAAAAACCGTTTTATGCGGGCAATATTTGATATCGATTCAAAAATCTAAACACATTCAATTACTTTGCACAATATATTAGGGGAAAATAAATAGCTACAAATAAAAGAAAAAATTGAGTTTTAAGAAGGCAAAATGTTGAAACGAAAAAAATGTAAATAAAGCGACGATTGGTAGACAAGGATAATTGAAAACGAGTAAAAAGTGAAAATATAAAAACGTTAAACAAAGAGGACTGTTAGTGTTTCAGCCCAAAATTGTGCATAGATCAACAAGATTTAGGTAACGTCAATTAATGTTTATTGTAGCCCTTTAAAACGATCCCAAAGCGATATAGCCTTTTGTTTGACTAATACACCATAAATTAACTACGGACGTTTACGCCTTTCGATTAATAATTATAACCCCTTGCTTTATGACGCAGACGGGGCTATTTAATGAGCCGTACTTTTTTTATTATCATACCCAGGCGTACGGTTTATTGGTCAACCTTGCAATATACCAATATTCGTAATAAACGTGGTCTTCGGGCCGAAAACTGCCGCCGGGCGTAAAAGAGAAAAGCAGTGTGTGTGTCGTTTCTGTTTATTACAACCCGCCCATTGGACGTTGAAAAGGATGGATGAAAAGACGAACGATAATTTTTTTCCGACCATAGCCCCACTTCTTGACCTAATGATAATAAAAAAAGGAGAGAACGGCATGATCGTGAAACCCAAAGGATAAGTGGTCGACTTAATTTAAACCAAGTTTATGGCGCTTCCAGGCTATACGGCCAATTTGAACTTAATTATATAATCCTATTAAGAATCAAGATTACTACATTACATTGTAATTTTTGCATAAAAGGACCATTTTACGTGCTCACAACTTAAAAATTTAAACCATTTTGTAATTATGTATAGTATCAATTAATTATACTTTTTATCTAAGTCTTGGTTGAGATGAAAAAGTTACTGCCTCGGCGGGCTTCGGTAATCGAAATGAGAAGTGTGTGGCATGGGCGATCGAAGTCACGGTAGCTCAAGTGGTAGAGCAGCGGCGTATTGAGCCGAAAGTCGTG